GGGAAAGAGAAGGTCATATCTTTATAATCATCCTGATGGTCTGAATCAATATTTTGAGGCAGAATTTGCTTCTGGCTGGCCCAGAGCCTTTGGCCCGACACTGCACGCGGTTTCTAGGCATTCTGTAGCAGAACAAGAAAGCCTGGCTGTCCGACATGGGTGTGTCCACCACTGGTCCTGGTTCAGGTTGGTCTACTCTATTGGGGGCAGGACCTTCTTGTTTTCCACAGATTCATGGTACCATTACCCTGTGGTACCCAACCTGACAGGGCCATGCGGGTGGGACCAACAGCTGTCCACAGTGTGTTTTATCAGTATTTCAGGCCCACCCACTGCCTCTTCCTGGGCTCTTACAGATTGCCAAGGTAGTAGAATCTGTTTTCTTTACTTGCATGTCTTAGCTCTGAGGGACCAGAGAACAAACCTCAAGGGCAGGGTGCGTTGTTGTAGGCCAGAGGAGGCTGGAATCCTGATCTTTTTAGGATCTTTATCTGATCTCACCTTCACCCCACCTGATTCTGTCTGTTTTCCCAGGGTGCAGAGCAACCATGCCAGAGGGGACTCTTGGACATGAAAAGTGTCCCTCGCTTGAGCCTTTGCAGGCCAGTCTTATTTACCACCCTGGATTAACAAAACTGCCTTCACTTGTCTCATTGGGATTAAAGGATCAGCATATCAAAAGAGATTAAAGGGGGAAGATGCCAGCCAACAGACTGATCCTCTTAGAGCTGCCCTCTGATTCCTGCAGCTGAAGAGAAAGCAAATGATGGCGATTAGTCCCTGCCTGGGGGCTGCTTCTCCACGCAGCCCCACTGGCCTGCAACTAGGCCCTCTCCCCAGCCTGCCCTGTAAGATTGCTGAGTCAGCAGTTGGCGCACTTCTGTCTCTTCTCCCAACAGTTGCTGCTCCTTCTTCGGAGCCCCTGGCTCAGCCAAACCCTGACCCACTTTGGTAGGGGTTTTCACGTGTGTCCCAGCTAGGAGGTGGACTTGGAAAAGCACAGGGATAGCTTGGGGTTCTATGGAGGCACTGAGGCAGCACGGATATTGCTCAGGATTAGCAAGGTCAAGATGACTGGCTGTTACCCAAATGTTCCTCTCATGGAATTAACTGGGCCTTGATCACTTGACTGGGCCTTTCCTTTTTTTTTTTTTTTTAAAAAAAAGAATGATTTGATTTAGCTTTAATTAATTAATTAGTTAATTAATTAAAATTTTACCAGAGAGGGACAGGGTAAGAGAGAGGGAAAGTGAGAAAGCAAACTGCCTCATCCGGAACTCAAACCACGGTCGGCCATGTAGGCATCCAGTGCCCTTAACCACCACGCTACCTGATGACCCCTTTCTTGGCTTTTTTTTTTTTAAGTAGATTTTTGCTTTGGAAATTAGGGCTCTTTCAGTTTCATGGTAAGCAGTGAATTATCCTCATCTGCTGCCTCACTTTCCAGACTGTCCAGAACTTTCCCTGCGGTGCTCAGGAAGTTGCTTGGTGGGTCAGGCTTCCAAGCTGGCGGAGCAGTGGTGCTGGAAGCTGCCTCTGCTGCTTGCTACTGCAGGTGGTGGTTTAAGTGGCAGATGCCTGGAATGCAGCCTTTCTGTTTTGTTTTTGTTTTTGTGTTTTTTTTGGAGAGCTTTTTTGTTATAGGGCACATGGCCCTCACCAGAAAGACAGAGAGACAAAAAGCGAGAAATCACCCCCCAGAGGGAGTGGCCACGCCGCAATCCCTTCTCCTGTATTCTCCTCTCGGGATCTTGGGCACACACGCAGGCACACACATGTGCCTGGCGTGAGTTTAAGCCACTGGGTCCAGGACTTGAACCGCGGTGGACTACATGGGAGTCCAGCCACACAGCCATTACGCCAACTGCTGGTCCCAGCCTTTCTGTTTTAATGTCAAAAACAAAAACAAACCTTGTCTTTCATCCCTGGGAGTTCCAGGAATTTGGGTAGGGGGTGCAGAGGGTGAGGAAACCTTTGCCTCCTTCCTTTCTTCAAATGTTGACAATGGAGTACCTTTCTTTTCTTTTTCTCCTACTCCCTGAACTGCTGTGGGTAGTTGGCATTGGCAGCGATAGGGAAGATGCATCTTTTGGTATAGTTGTCACTTCCAGCATTAACTGTTGTTGTTCATTTTCTTTTCACCTTACTCCCTGAACTCCCCAACCCCACCGAGCAGCTTCCTTTAGAGAGAAGGGAGCAGAAGGGCCAGCCCTGGGCACTGCCTCTATCATTGGCCCTAACACCGAACTGTCTTAGGGGGTCAGAGGAGGCCAGTGATCTTGACTGGTGACTTGATAGGATGGCATGTGACCCAAATAAAGGAAAACCAGGCTTGTGCCGTCTAGTAACTGCCAACACAGAGGGTGCACCTAGCCTGCACAGACTGTGAGGAAGGAATCAGTATTGGGTAGTAGGGGAAGCCAAGCCTTGCTTCAGCCCACCACAAATCTGGAACACATCAGGAGGTTTGGTTCCTGAAAGACTCTCCTCTGAGCTGCTTGCAGAGTGAGGAGGAGTCCACTGAAGAAAATTAAGTATTGAGAGATGAGCCGATTTTACAGCAGAGGCTGCACTGAGCAACTTTCTTTTACAAAAAACTCATGTCTTAATATCTGCTTAGATGAACCGCATCAAGAGATTTCTAGCAAGCAACTCACATTCTGTTCTGGGGGTCATAATACCGGAACAAATCCAGGGCAAAAGCTACCTTGGTTGGGCTGTATATATCTGTTTTCTGGATGGTGGTATGAAGTTAAGCATATTCACCTGCCTCTTTAAACCCTGATGGCTGATGTGGACATGGGAAGGATAAATGAATTACATAGCTAAAGAGAGGCTATGGAGGCAGGTGTGTGGTGGTTAGGACTCTGGACTCCACATGGCCAACCATGGTTGGAGTCCCAGACCTGGCAGTTTGCTATCTCTCCGTCTATCTCTGGGCAAATGAGAAATAATAATAAATATTTAAATAAATATTTCTTTAAAAAATGAGGTCAAGAGAGAGGCTCGGGAGCAGCATTCTCAGTCACTTGGGGTGGATTTCCAAAAGGCCATTTGTGGAACTCCAGCATGGGCTACTGAATGAGGGGACCCAGGGTGATCTAATAGGACAGTTACTAGCAGTTGCAGTGTGTGTAACTGTTGGGAATATTCTGAATTGAGAATAATGCTCGTCTCTCTGTTCCTTCAGTATCAAGTAGGGCAGCTGTATTCTGTGGCTGAGGCCAGTAAAAATGAAACAGGTGGTGGTGAAGGCGTGGAGGTCCTGGTGAACGAACCCTATGAGATGGATGGTGAGAAAGGCCAATACACACACAAGATCTACCATTTACAGAGGTACGTGATGGTGGCAGCAGGGCCCGGCATTGGCCTGGGATGGAAGTGGTGATAGTGGTTTGCTGAGGGTGCTACCCTTGGGGGTGTTGCTCAAGTTGCTTCACCTGTGAGAGCAGAGTAGGTGACACTTCTTTGTTTGTTTAACACTTGCACTATCCCCTCCCAGTCCCCAGAGTTTAGTTTCTGGTTGGCTCTTCCATTGTCTCTGAACATAGAAGTATATGGGACCAGCAGTTAGTGTAATGGCTATGTCGCTGGACTCCCATGTAGTCAACCGCGGTTCGAGTCCCGGACCTAGCGGCTTAAATTCACGCCGGGTGGTGTGCATGCATGCCCAAGATTCTGAGGGGGAATGTAGGAGAAGGGATTGCAGTGTGGCCATCCTCCCTGGGGGGTAATTTCTCTCTTTCTCTCTGTCTCTCTGTGTCTTTCTGGCAAGCGCACACGCCCTATATCAAAAAAACCTCTCCAAAAAAAAAAATATATATATATATACATACACACACACATACATACATACAAACATACACACGTATATGAGGGGGTTGTGTGTGTGTGTCCATGTGTGAATGGGTGTTCATTGCCTTCATTGTATTTTTACGTACATGGGGTCCTACTATGCATACCGTTCTTTGCTTTTCTGTTACTTACAGCTGCCTTTCAGTCAGCCTATGTTGCCTCATCCTTATAAGTACACATAATGGGGGACCAGCAGGTGGCGTGGTGGTTAAGGTGCTGGACACTCCTACATGGTCAACCACGGTTTGAGTCCTGGACCTGGTGGCTTGCTTTCTCACTTTCTCCTCTCTCTCTCTCTCTCTGGTCAAATTAAAATAAAGGAATGAATAAATAAATTAAATTAAATAATTATTTAAAAATAAGTACACATAATGTTCATGGTATTATGTTGTACAGAGATGTTGTAAGTTGGTTAGCCAGTCTTCTCTTGATGCATATATATATATATAGTCATTTCCAAATGTCAATATTTTCCAGTAAAACTCCTGTGTACATCTTTTGATGTACCTCTGTGTGTAGAGCTTTAGTAAATATTCCTCAAAATGGAATTGCTGAGTCAGGTAGTATTTTAAATTCTGATATTGTGAAATCCACTGCAAGACAAATTTTGGTACCTCTCTTTGGATCAAAGGCATACGTATTTTTAAATGAAGCTGGAACTGATTGATTTGTGTACTAAAAATCTATACCAAACCACATAGATTTGTTGAATTCCTAACCAAAACAGTACAATTTTAGTAAACTGTGAGCTGACCTGAAAGGCAGTAAAAACATTAATAAACATATACCAGCTAGAATGGAAGTCTAATCAAGCTAGGGTTGGTTTTGTTTTTGTTTTTGTTTTTAGCATTTTTAATTTAATTTTAATTTGATTATTTATTTTTATTTTGACCACAGAGAGACAGAGAAAGAGAGAAAGTGAGAAAGCTAGCGGCCAGGTCTGGGACTCGAATCATAGTTGGCCATGTGGGAGTCCAGTACTCTAACCATCACGCAAACTATCCAGAGCTGCAAAAATTGAGCCTGAATCTTTTTTATTTCTTAAATTTTGATAAAATATATATAACATAAAATTCACCATTTTAACAACTTTTTAAGTGTTTAGTAGCATTAAAGTACATTTGGGGCCAGCAAGTGGCATGGTGGTTGAGGTGCTGGATTCCCAAATGGCTAACTGCAATTCGAGTCCTGGACTTGGAGGCTTGCTTTCTCATTCTCCCTTTGTCTCTCTGTCTCTCTCTGGTCAAAATTGAAGAATAATTATAATAAATAAAAATTTTAAAAAATGTACACTCACACAACTGTGCAACTTAGACCTGAATCTTAATTTCTAGTCACTAGACTGAATTGAAACCAATTTCCAGATCAACCCATAGCCTAGTGGTTCAGAGAGCTGGGTCCCATATGGCTGATCCCATGGTTCAAGTCCCACACCTACCTACTTGAAAATAAATGCCAGGTGTGTGTTGCATGCATGCCCAAAATCCCAAAAGGACAGAGAAATGGAAGAGAAGGGATTATGGTATAATCATGCTCCATGGATAGTGCTTTGTCCCTTCCCCCCCCTCTCTCTTCTGGGAACACATATGCCTTCTAGCAAAGTTTAAAAAAAAAGAAAGAAAGAAAAAATCAATTTCCTTTTCCTTTGGTAAAGTATCTGATGTACCATAGTTTGCCGCTCTAATGATGCTAAACCAGAGAGGTCCAGGAGTCTGCAGGGCTGGAGCCAGGACAATCTGCTCCATGATCCCATCTCTTTATCGGTACACTTTTTCCTCTGTGCTTCCTCTTACTCCTCTTCTGTTCTTATTCTGAGTTGACTGCTGATCAGTCCCTACTTAAGAATAAACAGTCAGTTCAGATGAGGCTCAAGATACACGTTCTGCACAGTGTATTGTGTTTTTTTTTTTTCTTTTTGAATTTTTTCTTGTGAGAGATGCTTTTGTTATAGGGAGCATGTACTCACTGGAGAGACAGAGAGAGAGAGACAGAAAGCAAGAAATCACCCCCCCCGGGGGGGGCGGATGGCCATGCCGCAATCCGTTCTCCATTCTTCTCAGGGTCTTGGGCATGCACACACATGCACTTGACTTGAGTTTTAAGCCGCTGGGTCTGGGACTCAAACTGTGGTCGACCATTACATCATCTGCTGGTCTCATTGTGTTTTTTAAATAGAACTTTGAAAAGAGATGGGGATGATGGTGTTTTAGGTAGAAGAGGCCAACTAATTTCTCAAGAGTCAGTTGGTCCAACCAAACTGGCAAAGAGGTCTACATATGTGGAGAATGGGACCTGTCTTACCCTCTTCCTTGTAAGAGAGAATATAAACTGAACTGCCACCACTCCTTCCTTCCTTCCTTCCTTCCTTCCTTCCTTCCTTCCTGTTGATTGTGTGCACTCACCAGAGGGAGATGAGTCAAAGAGAAAGGGAGAGTGAGAAATCCCCCAAGGGGAAATGGCCACACCTCAGTCCTTCTCCACTCTCCTCTTGGGATTTTGGGCATGCATGTACATGTGCCTGGTATGATTTTTCAAGCCTCCAGGTTTGAGGCGCAGACCACACAGTTGGTTTTGCGGGATCCAGTACATTAACCTCCATTCCACCTGCTGGCCCACTACCGTATTTTGCTAATGCCAAAATACTCAACTGCAAAAATTAAAATAACAACCAACAGTTACTGCCGCTACCACAACTTCTTCTCATGAAGACAAGCCTCATTTTGTCAGCCACCTAGTTGTCCAGAAAAATGAGCTCCCCACCACTGTCTTCATCCCTCATATCAAATCAACTTCTGTTGACTTCATCTCCGTAGCATCTCTAACATGTCCATTTCTTTCCTTTCCATCATTGCGTGGATTAGCAGCACAGCAGCTCCTAACTGGTCTTCCAGTCTTCTAGTCTGCACAGCTTCAAGTGTTCTTTCTGGAAGATCTGTCACTCCCCAGCTTATAAGCTGTAGATGGCTTCCCTTTGCCCTCAGGATGAAGTCCAAACTCTCTGACATAACTTACGAGATCTTTGATGACCTGTTCTCTCGTATTCCCTGCCTCGGACCCTTGCATGACTCTACTCTGCAGCTTCTTTTTCTTTCTTCCAGCTTTCCTACCCCACTCCAGTCCTTTGGTCTAGCTTAGTCCTACTCTTTCTCTACTCCCTGCGTTCATTTCATCCTGCCTTTCCCCAAGGAGTCGGCCCAGCATGCCGCACCTCCCCATCAGCGTTCTCACAGTGCTCTGCTTGCCTGAGCCCTGGGCTCACCCCACGGTGGCAGGTACATGCAGTGTCATTGTTTGCCTGCTTGGTTATACTCCCTGCTACACTGGACTCCTCGAGAGCAGAGCCAGGTCCTTTTGGTTTTATGTGGATCCCTAGGCCTGGCACATCGATAGTGTGACTGAGTGAATGAATCTCGGAAGGCTGCTCTGAGTGGTCTGAATTGGTTCTCCTCTAGGGTTAAACTTTTTCCATCACCCTGAGGGACTAGAAGCTGATGAGGTGGTTAGAACTTGCTACAGGCTGTCTAGGTTCAGTTAAAAAGCAAGCAAGAGGAATTTATGCACCCTTTTAAAAAAACAAAATTGGGCACCTACTGTACATGTTGTTCTGTAACCTGAGATAAGAATTGAGTAGAAGAAAATATTTTGTCCTGGGAGACAGATGGCTCTGAGATGAAAGAGGATCAGATCATCCTGGATCCCATATTCCAAGTTACCCAGCCAACTCCTGTGGCCAATAAACCTAGACTGATGGGCATATACTTGGAGATATCGCCGTTTTATCTGATCCTTGCTCTGTGCAGTGTCATTCCCTGGGCCTGGTGAGCTCTGGGAAAATGTGTAATGATAAGGTGATGGCAGATAAGCCACCGCAGGTAGCCCAGGGTCTCATATACCTCAGCTGTGCCTGGTGACTGATAGGGCCAGTCATGGGTAGTAGCCAGCTGAGCTGGGTGTCAGGCTCTGACACATGGCTTCTAATGTGCAAGAGTAACCTACTATCTCACAGAAATTTGCTTGATAACTACCCCCTGAAGAAGCTGGAGCTGTGAATGGGAAAATGTGATATAATGGAGAGAATGGGAGAATGTGATATAAAAGCTTGCCTTGTTGGGGCTGGCAGGTGGCGTGGTGGTTAAGGCACTGGATTCCCATGTGTGTGACCACAGTTTGAGTCCTGGACCTGGTAGATTGCTTTCTTACCCTCTCTCTCTCTCTTTCTGGTCAAATTGAATAATAACAATAATAATAATAAATTAAATTATTTTCTTTTTAAGAAGAAAGAAAAAAAAGCTTGCCTTACTGTTTTGTCCATTCTTCTTCATATCCCTTTTTTTCACTATAGCAAAGTACCCACGTTTGTTCGAATGCTGGCCCCAGAGGGAGCCCTGAACATACATGAGAAAGCATGGAATGCCTATCCTTACTGCAGAACCAGTGAGTATGGACTTGGCTAGAAGCTGGAGTTTGGACAAAAGTGTGGTCAAGTTGGCCCAGGGGTGAGGGTGACTCAGGGCTTTGTATCACAGCTTCCTTTTCCAGATTAAGCCAGTGAAGAAGATGAGTTTGGGGGCTCCCTTCATGCTGTTGTGAATGTCATTGTCTTCCAGCACAATTTGGAGGTCAGCTGAGTGGGAACCAAAATGTTCCAGCCTGAGATAGCACAGAACCCACCCCTCTGAGTTAGTGATGATGTGAGAAATTTGATGGTTTTTACTGATTACGAAGATTTGAAAAATATATTAAAAAAGAAGAAAATATGTACCCATAATTCTTTGATCCCTAGATAGTCACTTTTTTAAAAAATAATTACTTTATTTTTATTTATTATCATTATTATTTTCCAGTTTGATCAGAGAAAGACAGAGAGAGAGAGAGAGGAAGTAAAAAAGCAAGCCACCAGGTCTGGGACTTGAACCGTGGTCGGCCATGTGGGAGTCCAGCGCCTTTAACCACCATGCCACTTGCCAGCCCCAATAGTCACTATTTTTAAAAATAATTATTTTATTTGACTTTATTAATTTTATGTATTTTAATTTGACCAGAGAGGGGCTGAGAGAGAGAGCGAGAGCGAGAGCGAGAGAGAGAGAGAGAAGGAAAGTGAGATAGCAAGTTACCAGGTCTGGGACTCAAACCGCAGTGGGCCACATGGGAGTCCAGTGCCCTTAACCATCATGCCACCTCTGGCCCCAGTAGTCACTATTAACATTTTAGTATATATTTTTTTAGTCCTTTTTTAAATAACTGTATATTTAAGGGGACTTTAAAAAGTTCATGGGAGTTGGCCCCTTAGCATACTAGTGAAGTGCTGCACAGAGGAAGCTGCATCCCACATGGCCAACCAGGATTCTTGTCCTGGCTCTGGTGGCTTGGAAAACATGTTGGGTATGTGTACATGCCCAGACTCAGAGAAAAGAGGACTGTGGCTTAATCAGGCCTTACTGGGGGTCGTTGCTCCTTCTCTCTCTCACTCTCCCCATCCCTTCTTCCCCTATCTCTCACTCACACACATTGAGTGTATATTAGAACAAGTTTATGGGAATGCATTTGAAGTACAAGTTTATTTTGGTACAAAAATATTTTATATAGTTTATATATATATAAACAGAGGTAGATTGATATAGGTACACATACGCATACACATAAAATCTCCAGGTAGATATTCTGAACAAATTTTAGTTCATATTATTAGTAATTTTTTTTTACTAATATTATCTAATTTTGCCGAAAAGTTCTGTGCTTTCCAGAGAGGGGGAGAAAGGACCCGCTCCCAGTGGGGAATGATCACACGTCATCTCCACTTCTTCATTACTGCATCCTGTTGGGGTTCTGGGGCACGCGCACATATGTGTCACGTGTTTCTCGAGCTAGGACGCAAGCCACTGGCCATGTGGGATCTGGCTCCCTTAACCATCAGAGGCCACACGTCGGTCCTATTACTAACTTTTAGATTACTTTTATTTTTTTTCTGGAAAACATTTAGAGAACATTTTCTCTGTCACCAGGCAGTCTACTGTTTTATAAAATTTTGTTATGACTGCATAGTATTCTGTCATACTGATTTTTTTAAAAACCGCTCTCTTATTGTCGAATACTGAGATTTCCAGTTTCAACATGTTATATTTGTGTTTGACTTGAGAGTCATAAGAAAGGACTTGTGAAGTGGAAGTCTGCCTTAGGGAAGGGCCAGGCCTACACCAAGAGAAGGTAGCAAAGGAAACACCAGTGTTGCTGGGGAAAAGTTGAAATAAGTCCAAGATTTTTTTTTTTTTTTTTTAAGCCCAAGATTTTTGACTTTAGAAAGCATTTAGAAAGAACTGTCCCTAAAATAACATTACATTCACATGGAGTGTGCCTGGCAGATTCTTTAGTGGGGGTGGGGTGGTGTCACTGCTTAAGAACTGAATTCATGGCATATCCCAAACCAGCATATTCTGTGGTTCAGAGTGGGGGTGGAATTATTTTCTTAAACTTGGCCAGTCTCCTGGTGGGAGTTTCTGGAAAGGAAGGGAAAAATTTGAATCTCCACAGAGAACTTTCTATTCCTGTCTAGACATTCTGGGATTCTTTTTGAGTCGTTTAGACTCTTAGCTTTCCAAGATCCCTAGATTTTGAGAGGCATCCAGGAGTAGACTTCTTGGAGAGCCTGTTATACTGATTTATATCCTAGGAGGGTTCTTAGACGTTCCTGGAACTTGTCTGTGAGGTGGGTAACCTTTCCTCCAGCCAACCTCCATTTGTTGGCACAGACCGTCTGCTGTGGGGTCCTCCTGCCGGCCTCTGCTTACCTGTACTGCTTCGCTTGCGTTAAGTGTTGAGACCAGGCACTCCCTAGATTATATCACATGAGGATGTGATCCATGGGATCCTTATCCTGTGAGCATTGGAAAGGACTAAAGTCCAGAATGCAGAGTCATTGCTCTGTCCAATCCACAGTGGCCCTACACAGGTTCAGGGACTTGATATCAGGAGATGTGTAGTCCTTAGTGGGACCTGGGAAATAATTAGCAGTTTTATTACAGTAACTGAAAATGCAAACATCACCACTCCCTAAGCATCATCCGGCCGAAAGCTGATCAATTCTTGGAAGCGAGATATGCACCCATGTTCTTATGAGACCGTGTACGGTATGGCTGGGTGTGGCTGGTCTAGGGCCGAAGGTGAATTTTCTTGATGTCTAAAGAGTTGCAGTGAGCATGCATTGTAAGAGCCTTAGCCCACTTGGCATAACGGAGGCAAACAGACAGTGTGGACATCTCCCTGCCTTGGGCAGGGCTCTGGGTACACAGCTTGTGCCAACTGAGAGATGCCACTGTCCTCTGTAATTCTGGGGAGTGTGTGCTGCAGCTGACCACGGGCATTTTTCTACTCAGCAAATGTTTGTTTACATACTAATCCTTAACCATGAGAAAAATATAATTTCTAAATACTCCATAAAGAAGAGGCAGGGAATGGGGGAGGGAGAGTTGGTTTCTTCAGAGGGTGCTGACCGCGTAGTCAGAACCCCCTTTCACACAGAGTGAATATATTAAATCTTAGATGTGTTTGGTTAGACACTTGCTCTTTGGAAATAATAGATATAAACAGGCACAGAATGCTACTTTCCAATACCCTCTGGGGATAGATGGGAGAGAGATTATTAGTTCAAACATCGTAGCATGGCCTAAGTAGAGCAAAGTACGAGGTGAAGTAGATAAAGGAGCATGGAGGGAAATTCCTCATGCCTTTGGAAGGCTCTGACCTTACTCTTTAAAAAAAAAATTCTTTATTTTATTAGTTATTCATTTATTTATTTTAATTTGACCAGAGAGAGACACACATGGGGGGAAGGGAGATGAGAAAGCAAGCGGATCTGGCAGGTGACGCGGTGGTTACGGATGCTGGACTCCCACATGGCCAACCACTGTTCTAGTCTCAAACCTGGCGACTTGCTTTCTTACTTTCTCTCGCTCTCTCTGTCCCTCTCTGGTCCAATTAAAAAGAAAGAAAGAAAGGAAAAGAATGAAAGAAAGATAGATAGTTAAATGAAATAATTCTTTAAAAAAAAAAAAAAGAAAAAAGAAAGCAAGACACCAGTTCCAGGACTTTTACCGTGGTCAGCCATGTGTATTTGAGGGACCAGCAGTTGGTATAATGGCTGTGTCGCTGGACTTCCATGTCGTTGACCACGGTTTGAGTCCTGGACTTGGTGGCTTAAACTCACACCAGGCATGTGTTTGTTCATGCCCAAGATCCAGAAAGGAGAATGGAGAAGAAGGGATTGCAGCATGGCCATGGCCATCCCCCTGAGGGGTGATTTCTTGCTTTCTGTCTCTCTGTCTTTCTGGCCAAGTGCACGTGCCCTATAGCAAAAAACCTCTCCAAAAGAAAAAAAAAAGAAAAGAAAAGAAAATGAATTTGAAATGCCCTACTCCTTATCAGATATTTTCTTACTTTATATTTGCCTATCTCTTGTCCTTTGATGGGTTGGGAAGTGAAGGGGGGTAAGATGCGAGTTGGTCTGTGAAAGAAAGTGAGGGGAGGAAGTGTTTCTGCTTCTGCCTCTCCCCCAACCTTAACCCTTAGACAGATACATTGTCGTTAAGCTGTGCTCTTAAAATAATGTACTATTCTTACTCAGAAAGCCCTGTTTTCCCACTGTGAAGGGTTCCTGAGGTATTACCCATGTACCTAGGGTTGCGATTTGAAGAAAAGGTGATGCTGCGAATGCAGAGGTGTTTGGAGGGACAGGGAGGTCTAGAGTAGGCTTGGGGGAAGTTCGTTTAGTCACCCACTTGGGCGTGAAAGCCAGGGAGGGTCATCACCTTCATGAGTTCAGAAACCCAATTTATTAGAACTGAGTGGATATGTTTCTCAGGGTCTCACAACTCCCTATACAGAGAGTGTTATAAAAGCCCCAAATATTGGGACCAGCAGGTGGCATAGTAGTAATGGCGCTAGACTCCCACATTACCAACTGCAGTTTGAGTCCTGGACCTGGTGGCTTGTTTTAATAATTTTATAAACAAACTAATGCCAATCAAAGCTTGGCATTAGGGTTTTTTTTTTTTAATTATTCATTTACTTACTTTTAAAGTTTGCTATTCAGCACATGTGCTCATCAGAGAAAGAGAGAAGTGAGAAAACAAGCCACCAGGTCCAGGACTCAAATCATGGTCGGCCATGTGGGAGTCTAGTGCCCTTAACCACCATGCCACCTTCAGACCCCATACTCATCGTTCTTTTTTTTTAAGCAAAATTTTTCTTCTAGCTGATGATAGGGCATTTATTTCAGTCTAGGCCTTTTAGTTACTGTATTCTTAATCTGGCGCTACCTTCTAAGTATCTTTCACTGGGCTGGGGGGAGTTACTGGCAGTCTTTTGGGTTGTTTCCTTACATAGTAGATGACGTACCTTACATGCAGCTTTTCCTTGTTTTGGTCTCAGACGTAACCTCAGTGTCGGTTTGGAGGTTAGGGAATTCGTTAGCTTTGTGCACTTTCTACACATGGCAGTGTGGCAGCCCTCCGGACCCGAGATAGCGCCTAAGTTCAGGGGGAACACATGAACCGGGCCCTGGGCAGGAGAAGACCTAGTCCGTTCCCAGTGACACGAGAGCTGCAGTCATTTTCTCTGATAAATAATTGAACCGTGCTTTCCGAGGGCTCCCGTTACAGTGAGCAGGAGTGTAGAATGAGAGGTTCGGTTACAGTGAGAGGAAGGGTGTAGAGGGCAGATACACAGTGCCTACCCTAAGGGACCCTGCTCTGCTCTGGGGGTGGGCCGGGGGCACCAGGGGATGCTCTGGGTATGGTAATGGTGCCTCTGCTTCCCACCCAGGCCCTCGCCTTGCTCCACCCGGAGCAGGACTTAGTGGCTTCGCTTTAATCCAATTCCAGCTTTGGTCTTTTGGGACTTGTATGAGTAAAACCTGAGGGTTTGCACATTGAGGTACTCCTGACTCACTGGGGCTTGGAGGTGACTGGAATAAGCTACAAGGAGTGAAGGACTCTGGGAGTGAGGGGCAGATATTTGTTCATTCTCATTAATCATTTTCTCTTTTTTTTTTTTTTCCATGTTGTTGCCTTGGAGCAGTTATTACAGTAAGTAATTTTCAAGGGGGTTGGACTTGTAGATGATTGATAAGAAAAGGGGAAACGAGGTGGAACCGCACTGGAAGTCCTTGTCTCCTTTTCTTTCCCTTGGGAGACGTTTGGAGTGGTTGAGGCGCAGTCCTAAAGAGGTACTTGCTTGGGCCACCCAGAAGCTTGGTAGTTAAAGCAGCTGGATCTCACGTGGCCAACTGCCGTTCGAGTCTAGGATCCAGTGGCCTCGAAAACATGCCAGATACATGTACATGTGTATGCATAGCCAGAATCCCCAGAGAAGACTGGAGAAGAAGGTATTGCAATGTGGCCATCCCTGTGTAGGTGTGCTTTCTCACTTTCTCTTCTCTCTCTCTCCAATGAGTGTCCACGCCCTATAGTAAATTTTTCTTTATAAACCTACTTTTTTATTTTTAAAGAATTATTTTTATTTTAACTTTGTTATTATTATTTCCAATTTGATGAGAGAGAGTGGGAAAGTGAGAAAGCAAGCCACTGGGTCTTGGATTTGAACCATGGTTGGCCATGTGGGAGTCCAGTGCCTTTAACCACCATACCACCTGCTGCCCCCTATAGTAAATTTTTTAAAATTGGGGACCAGCAGGTGGTGTGGTGGTTAAGGTGCTGGACACTCCCATGTGGCAGACCATGGTTAGAGTTCCGGACCTGGTGGCTTGCTTTCCTACTTTCTCTCTCTCTCCCTCTCTTTCTGGTCAAATTAAAAATAAATGAATGAATAAATAAAGTTAAATAAATAATTATTTTTAGATGTCTTTCTTAATTAAAAAGAAAAAAAAATAAGTACTTGTTGATTGGCATGGTGGTCTGCCACTTTAAGCCGGATAGGCCTGTGACTTTATCTGCTGTGTCCTGGCCCTGGGTCTCCCTCATCTGCCCAGGCCAGGCCTTCTCAGGGTTGTACAGAGATCTCAGTTCAGCTGACCTGACTCATCCCTTCCCTCTCAAGCATCTGAGGACCCTAGTGGTCACTGGCTGTCAGCATAACTGCGAGGTGAGCAAGGTTTCTCTTCCACGCCCACCCCCTCTGTCATTGCGCCTCCTCTTCACCCTTCAGCTGCTCCTCCAAGGGTCTTGTCTCTGCTGGTTCATCTAGGGAGTTTCAGAGAAACTATTATAGTTGCTTCTTGCTGAGTAGTTAATGAATTAACACATTCCTCCCTTGTGTAGTTCCACTGATAATTGTTTTTTTTTAACATGCTAGACCAGATTTTATTTTTATGGCAAGAATATTTAAATTGGGGGAAGAAATTGTTTCAAATGTTACTGACAGGCTTCAAACAGTTGTGATGGAGGGATCAACATCATACAAAAACCCACCTAGTAAAGTTTTAGATGACCGGTAACTTTATCAATGAGATCCGCTGGTCCTGGCCCAATTCCTAGGACAGTTCGAGAGCCTGGTTCAATCTGAGTACATCCAGCATCTTGAATTAAGCTCACAGTGAGTCCAAGCGTTTTCGCATGGGTCAGTAACTGAATCAAGGTTTCTTCATCAGGAGCTTTGACCACCACTTTGGGCTGGCCACAGTATTCCCACTCTTTGAGCATTGCAGAATTTCTCCTTTGAATTTGCTTGTAGGCAGAAACAGCAGCATGGGAGCACTGGGCAGCCACTTTTCCTTTTCCCATTTTTAAGTCATTTCCAACAACAAGAATCATTTTATATTCCCCACTCTCCCCCAAGATGCTTGCTTCAGTCCCGGTCTCTGCATTTGTGCCACTTGCTGAGCTTTTGGGGAACATCCCAAAGCATACCCGAAGGCCCCAACCCAGGCACATGCCACAAGCAACCCCAGCAGCCAGGCTGAGGGCACTCGGATGAGACAAATATTACATCATTGATGATTCGGAAAGCACCTACTCACACTGGCCCTTCCAGTTCTTCTCTTTTTCCCACTGATAATTTTTTAAAAGCATAAAGGGAGGGAGACAATAATTGGCACGAAGGGTGGAATTGCTGAGAAGAGAACTTCAGGCCTCAGCAGAAGGCTAACTAGGGGGAAAGGGACGCGGTGGATATTTTGGTTGGTCAGGAAATCATGCTGGGCTCTTCCCACATTACTAATAAGCCTTAGTAGCCTATGTGTAAGCAGTAGGTACAGTGGTTGAATCGTGGATTTTGAAGTCAGACAAACCTGTTTTTGAGGCCCAGCTCTGTGATGATCTTTCTGACCCTGGACAGGTCACCTAATCTTTTTGAACTTCACTTTCCTCATCTGTAAAACGAGAGGAATTCTGCAGACCTTAGAAGCAGCAGTGGGGATTGAATGGGGTCACGCGTCCCTAGCATGTTACAGGCTCCCAGTCAAGGTAGCTGTTATTATAAGGCAGAGTCTCGGACTGCCCATGGCCCAGGGCTAGTGGGAGATGGTTACTCTTCAGCTGCAACTTTGGTGATTATAAGGTATTTTTCCCCTCTTCCAGAACGAGTACATGAAAGAAGACTTTCTGATTAAAATTGAAACCTGGCACAAACCCGATCTTGGCACCCAAGAGAATGTAAGTAGCACTTCCCAAGAGCTCTAGGGACTTCTGGGCTCCAGGGCAGGGTGCTGGGGCTCTACCCTTTAGCTTCTCTATCAGTGCTGAGGGGTCCTTTCTGTGGTCCATTTTGCTTGGCCAGGAAGGCACTGGTCTCTGCCTAGACTTGTCCTATCAGCATAGGTTTGCTGTCTCTGATTTGCAAAATATGATCTCATATATATATATATATATGTCTTGTGTATACACACACACACACACATATATACACATATGAAGGTATGTATGTTTTTTTTTTTTTTTGAGAGGTTTTACTATAGGGCGCATGCACTTGAGAGAGAGAAAGAGAGACAGAAAGTGAGAAATCACCTCCCCACCAGGGGGGATGGCCACGCCACAATCCCTTCTCCATTCTTCTGTCAGGATCTTGGGCACGCATGCACATGCGCCCGGTGTGAGTTTAAGCCACTGGGTCCAGGACTCAAACCGCAGTCGACTACATGGGGGTCCAGTGACATAGCCATTACACCAACTGCTGGTCCCTGTTTTTGTTTAAGAGAATGATATTTTTGCTATAGGTGTGTGCGCTCAGAGGAGAGACAGGAAGACAGACAGAAAATGAGAAATCACCCCTCGGGGATGGCCATGCTGCAATCCCTTCTCCTCCATTCTCCTCTTGGGATCCTGAGTACATGTACATACACACCTGGCGTGAGTTTGAAACTGCTGGGTCTGGGACTCGAACCACAGTCAACCATGTAGGAGTCCAGTGATGTAACCATCCCATCACCTACTGCTCCCGAGAAACTATATTTTTAAAATATCTGAATTACTGCTGCCTTTTTTTTTTTTGAGAGGTTTTTCTTTTTTTGGCTATAGGGCGCGTGCCCTCCCCAGAAAGGCAGAGAGCGAGAAATCACCCCCTGGGGGGAGGGGCCGA